AAAAAGTTTAATGCTGACATTTTCTCGCTTATCTATATTGATCTATAAATACAATTGAACACATTCATTATTCTCTTCTCCCCACCAAAAAAAAAAAAAACTTTATGTACTTAGCCTCTAAGACTTCTTTTTTGTTGTTGCTGTTGTTCATACAGGATCTTGCTACGCAGCCTGTCTCAGCCTCCCCAGGCTGGGATTACAGCGTGTGCCACCATGCCTGGTCTTGGTGGCCAGCATAGCGCACTCAGGCTTCCAGAGCTAGCATGGCATGCAGTACTGGGGATCGAAATCGGATCCTTGGGCTTGCCAGGCAGGCACTCAGACCACCGAGCTATCTCCCCAGGCCTCAGATTTCTTATGTATGTTTTTCCTTTTCATGTCACTATGGCTTGGAGATCCTGGCATTCATTTTTGGGACACCTCTCATTATAATCACTCATTAGGTCATTTGATCTCAGTTTCAACTATTATCTATGCCTTCAAAACATTAATCTCCATATACATGAATGTTCCCAGTGAACCCCAGGCACAGATAACGCACATCAGTAGGAGCCAGAGACACAACCTCCATTTAACATGTCACAAACAAATCATCCTGTCCCAATCCACAAATCTCCTTACCCACACACACATTCCTTGTTTCAGCCAACGAACACCAAGTCTATTCTTCCAGCTACTCAGACAAAAAGCCTTACCTACGTACCCTGACTCATCTGTTCTTTCATACTTGATCATAAAATAATCCAGAAACACTGGTGGTCCTACCATAAAATAAAAAAATGAAGAAATCTAGTAACTTCAGACAAACTCATCATAAATGGTGTGCTCCAAATGTAACCTTCTCTTGCCTGGACTTTTCCAATACTCTGCTAAATGGTTTCACTACATTTCTACCTTTGTCCATTTAGAGAATCTACATTCTCCATTTGAATCATAAAAAAAAAAAAAGCATTATCACTTCATGGTCTTTTTCCCAACCCTCCATAGCTTTCCCTTGTTACTAAGCCAAAGCAGACATGACCTGGCCACATTATCTCCTCTGAGTTCATTACTTGTTATGCATCTTGCACACTTTTAGCCTCCTTATCTTTACTTTTTAAAAAACTCCCTGCATATTCCCACCACCCCCTGGTATCTGCATCATTTTCTTCCTCACTTCCACTTTTGTTGAAATGCCATCGCTTCAGTAAAGCCTACAAAAACGATATTAATTTCAAATAGCCATCCACTCCAGGCATTTCCTATTCCATTTTCACTCTTTCTTTATCTCCATAGCTGTATAGGAAAAGGGGCATTTTCCATTTTATTCACTTCTAGAGCTCCAAACAGTGCCTAGACATAATAAACAGTAACTCATAGTTCCTAAACAAACAATCGTTGTATCTACTAAACTGAAAAGTGAGGTCAGCACGAATGACAATATCTTCATCCTGTCAAGTAATGATTTAAACCCTGTCTGTTTTTCTTTCTTTAAATATATTTATTTATCTTGGCACAGGGTCTCACTACACAGCTCAGACTAGTAGTAATCCTCCTGTCTCAGCCTCCCCAGTACTGGGATTACAGACGTTAGCCACCACACCCAGTTTCAGTGGCAGGCACAGTGTTACCTGGGTTCTGGGGTCAGCACGACATGTGCTATCAGGGATCAAACTTGGGTCCTTGCACTTGTCAGGCAGGTGCTTTGACCACCGAGCTATTTCCCAGCTCCCATCTGCTTTTCTTAAAACAACATCTAACGATAGTTAAGGCCTTAAATTTTACCAACTAATACGTAAGGTGCCCAGATACATGCAAAAGATAAGCTCTGTCATTATAGAGGTCAATGTAATAACAAGGGTAGACATGAGTAATTTCCATATTCCCATGAGATAGAAGTATGTACAGGACACCAATACCAAGGTTTATATATTGTAAAGCATCAAGAGAAGACTTAAGGGCCAGCCAAATAGCTCAGCAGATTAAAGTGCACACAAACAGGGGGTTCTATCTCCGGGCCTAAAGTGCTGGCCCCGCCCCTGGGGCCTGCTGAGATGGCAATTGAAACTGGGAGTGGTGGCGCATGACTGTAATCCCAGCTCTTGGGAGGCTGTAAACAGGGGGATCACTACGAGTCCTATCTAGTAGTGAGACCTTGAAACCCTGTAGACCCTTCCCTTAGAGAGAGAGAGAGAGAGAGAGAGAGAGAGAGAGAGAGAGCGCTTAAGGCTGATTGAGTAGGCATTCAAAAGAGTAAAAACTAAGTTGGGAGAGGTGGCACATGCCTGCCCATAATCCCAGCACAATTGAGGCAGGAGGATCACTGGGAGTTTGAGACTAGGCTTAAGCTACAAAGTGAGCTCAAGACCAGCCTGAAATGCATAGCAAGACCGTGCCTCAAAAAAATAAATAAAAATAAAAATAAAAATGATTCCAAGTGCGCATACAGGAAAGAAAAAAATCAACATATGTGGAATAGTCATAGAAAGGTACAAAAAGTCTAGGTATAGTGGAACAAGAAGATGGAAATAAGATGAGACATTCTCTAACATTCTAGCAGTACAGTAAGACACAATGATTTTAAGTACAAAGCTGGCAGATTCTATGGTTAACAGGAAATATTTGTGGTATAATAGGAAGAACAGTTCATGATCGGAGATTCATAATCATTGTTGCATCACAGGCTACTTGGACAGGAAAGTTTGTAAATTCCATTTCTGAATAACAGTTATAAATGCATGCAATATAATGTGCATAGTTAAAATGGAAATGATCACATTAAAATAGCTCAAATGTAGTACAGTGATATACACAAGAAATTCAACTTAATATTACAATCTTGTAATAATTTCAGGGTAATAATGGGCATAAACAATATTTGAAGAAATATTCAATAATTCAAGACATATATTATTGTATATACAGTGTTATCTGGAAACATCTGTGTTTTCTATTGGTAACAATGTTACAAGTACTGCTAATACTATTAGCATATGTTTTCTATATTCATAATGAAAAGTAATGCTTACTTTTGGTTGAAGGGTAGCAGATATACAGACTGAATTTTTTTTTCCGATCCCAGTACATGAATTTCAATTTAAGACCTCCTCATCTACACTAAGGTCATAGCAACAAACTAGGAAAATAGAGATATTTAGAAAGAATATATTTCAAATATAAAAACATCCTCTGGGAGAAAAAAGGCAAATAGATAAAATAATCCTAACCTAAACTGGATTGCCTCCAAAAAGTAAAAAGGAAATACCCCTATGTCAATTGTTATTTAACAGTTTCCTTTACTTTGCTAAAAAGAGCACAGACAACAACAGTATTACTGCCAAAAGATGATTAATTTCAAGATGACTCCCACCCTGTTCAAAGGGTTATATTGGGGTTTTTAACCAGCATCAGACTGTTTACTCACACAAACTTGTAAATATGTCATTTTTAGAACTAACCAACAACAATGCCCATTTTGTTTTCACATGTAAGACACAAAAAGAAAATGAAGAAAAATGACCGTGACTTTACTGTCTGTGCTTCCAAAATGAGAAAATCTACAAACATGATGAAGTTCTGGGGGTAACATGTTAACGTTATGTGTTACTGAGAAAAAATTGCCTCCTGAAATTCCTGCCTTATAAAAATTTTAAGTATTGTCAAAGAGTGTGGAATCTCCTTTTTGAAATTTCTATACAATTATGAAAGCAATGAAATCAATAAAGCTGGAGGAAAAACATTATACTTCAATTTATAAATCTAGCATTACCCTTCAACTGCTGCCCTTGTGCAAATGATACGCTCTCTCATTGGCTGGTACTTTGGAACTGTCACCAAAATATACTGAAAGGTATCTGTGTGTGGTCATAAAGTGTCTGTCTTTATCTTGGAGTAAAAGAATTGTGAAGCCAGGAATGATTTTAATTTTTGTTGGACACTGTGCTCAAAGCCTAAGACAAAAGCTGGTATGTGTTGTCTGCTTAAAGAAAAAGGGAGAATGGGAGGAAAAAAGACAGGTAAGAGACTATTCTTTGATGAGATACAAATGGAAAGACTACAAATCCTTCTGAATTTATCAGCGTCTTTCTTTATATTTTGAGAGAAAGATTCAATTAATTACCCAGGCTAGTCTGAAACTTGTCATCCTCCTACCTTAGTCACCTAAGTAGCTGGTATTACAGGTGTGTGACACAATGCCTGGCACAGTACCTCAATCCTGAAAAGCTACCTAACATAGTTATCATCAAGAAGAATATGTACTACTCAGAAAAAAGAGTCACCCAATGCTCACATTTTAAGGCATTCTGATAGAAATGAAATAGTATAACCACTCTGGTATTACTTACAAAGGTTAGGATTAACAAATGTAATGACTCAGAATTTCCATTCAAAAATAAGTATATATTTATACCAAGAAACAGTAGAACATTTTCACAGCATTATTAGAAAAACACAAAACCAGATAGCATACTATATATGAACAATATCAGAAATGATAAATGAATAGAAGCAGGTCTATACAGAGGAATAAGTAAGGAATTTTAAACACTGCCTCAAAAAACAACACAAGTGAGAGATACTTAAAAGGATTTTCTGTATTGACTAAATTAACTTTCCACCACATAGAACATTTATGGAAATGACTAATGACTATTATTTTGCAACAATGACTATTTCTTAATGAACTATATAGTACTGGCCCATTATTGACAGAATGTTCTGGAAGATACATGTGGAAATGCAGATTAGTTCTCTAAAGTTAAAAAAGTATGGTGAAATTATCTAAGCATAAAAACAAATGCCCCTTATATCCCTATTTAGAGAGCATGGTATAGATCATCACTACTATACTGGCTCAAGTTGATTAATGGTTTAATAGATAAGAACACTTTAAATGAGTTTAAGATCCTGTTATTCTATAAAGAGATTACGAAATTTTTATTTTACCTCAGCTCCCTAAAGTTACAAACACAGTCAAGAAAGATTGAAGGGAGCAATGGACAGACAGAAACTATGTTTACCATGCAGGGGTGAGCCCGAAGGGCTGCTGGATAGACCCGGAACAGGGCTACAGCGACCTCCTTGCTTCGACGTCAGTTCTTGTTCAATCTCTTCCAGGCCAGCACTTTTCTGGAAACGGCTCATGCGATTCACCACTCGCGGGGACATATGAGTACGAACACAAGGCTGGCCACCATAAGGGTTGATGGGGAAAACATGGGAAGTACCCCGGAGGGTACTGACCACAACCCAGCGACAATCATGGCTGAAGCAGATGTCCTGAACCTAGAGATGAGACAAGATACAAGAACAGCTGAAATTATGTGGATTGGGCTAAGAGTATCACATATCACCAATTGCTAATAGAGCTGATCGTCTCATTCTGCAATTTACCTAAGAATAAGTTAATACATGAAGTCACCTGTTCTACAGGTAAGAGCTTCACAATGAATGTTAGTTAAAACCCCTCATCAGGGATCCACAAAATTTAGAGAGGAGAATTCTGGTCCTTGCTGCATGGAGTGGCAAGTTAGAAAACAGGATCGAGGCATCTGATTCCTTACAGAGTTGTAACAAAAATTGAGTCAGGCTTATTTTCCTAAAAGACTTTCTAATAAACATGGAATGCTAAAACTGCTAAAAAGTTATATAATATAGCAAAAGTTACTAATTCAATCATTGATTCAAATGCTAATTACACACTGCAAAATATTAGAAATAAAATAATATATCTATGTGACTACAGCTTAATAGGAAGCTAAGACACATGAGAAATTTATTACAAGGTAGTATGTGGGATGTGAAATAACTCTGATGTGTACAGGCACAGTGGCAGCAAAAAGGAAGTACAATAATAGATTGCTTCACTAGGAAATGGTAACGTAGAGCACAATGAATAATCGTACAAAAAAATTCTTAAAAAGTAACCCTGAACTGGGGAATTTATCTGTGGTTTTTGTCATTGTTCATTTATTTTTTTATTTTTGTTTTGCTTTGCTTTCATTTTGAGACAATCTCAGTGAGCTGCCCTGCCTGACCATGATCGTGTGACCCTCCTGCCTCAGCCTCCAGAGTTGATGCTATTACACAGATGAGCCCCTACACTCTTCCTGGAATTTGGTTTTAAGTATGATACTCTTACAGGGAGAAAGTCACTCCAGTTTGGATCTACTTACCTATTACTTTTTTTTTTTTTTTTTTTTTGTAATGTACTTAGTATAGGGCCTAACTACACAGACCAGACTCCTAGTGACCCTCCTGTTTTCAGCCTCCCAAGCACTGGGATTACAGGCACACGCCATCACACCCAGCCTAGATATGGCATTTTATAACAAATAAAAGGCAGAAATGGTAGGTGAGTTCATCAGGATATCAGAAGCTGCACAGAGGTCAGCAAAAAGCCAGTGGTGTTTGGATTTCATTTCAGAAATAATGGAATAAAAAATGGTTTTGCAAGTAAAACCCAGAAGGACATAGGGAGCTGTAGCAAAGTTAGGTAGGAATTTACTTAAATATTCAGGGATAGACACACTGATGGTACACAGAAGAAGATATTAAAACACTCTAAACATACACTCACAACAACAACAAAGATAGTACACAGATTCCTGAAGAGTGTGGCACATTTTTTCAATCAAGAGTCCCTGGACTGGGTGTGATATACCACCTCTATTGTCTACTGTGCCTGCAACTCTGCCCTTGTACTGCCATTATGGTTTGTGTATAGGTGTCCCCCAAAGCCTCATGCAGTCATGGGGCAGACTTCTAGAGTTTGTGATTAACTCATGGCCCACTGGGATTATGGGTATGAGTACTAACTACCCAGCCTGGGGCAGACAGCCTGAATGCAACTTAAGGGAGGCAGACTTGCTCTCTGTAGCCCTTGTTACTGCTGCTCCTCCTCCCTTTTGCTCTTGCTGTTTTGCTGCCTTCTGCTGCCATGAACTGCTGCCCTCTGCCATGCACCGTTCTGCCTTGGAACCAGCTGGCTATGGACTGAAGTCCTCAGTAACTGTGAGCTAAATAAACCTTTCCTTCCTTCATTTTGCGTGTTGGGTATTCTTCCCAGCAACAAGCGAAGACTGAGACAACTGCCATTACACACAGGAAATATAAAAAGAAATGCACACAGTCACATTATGAGATCTGAGAGACTTTACAAACAAGTAGCTATTCACAGACCTGACCTAGGGAAAACTGACTACTGATTAGTTTTAGATTTATACACTGAATTAAGTTATTTGGTGTTTGAGGTAGCAATTTTAATTTACTATCGCTACATTGATATTAGTCTAAAGGTAAAAACTTGAGCAAAAATATCTCCATTTACTTCTGTCATAAAATGAAAACAAAGTAAAATGTGTTATTGCTCTACAGTGTGGTGCATATGCTCGGAGCCCAACCCAGCATCTCATGCATACTTAAGCCTGCACCCTACTGCCAGCTATATCTATCAGCCCTTGTTCCACTGTTCTGTACACACTGCTTCTAAAAGGAAGGCTGCCACAAATACTTTAGAAGGTTTCCTAAATTGATTTATGTTAATTTTCTATCACAATTATCCAATAGTGCTCTACAAATATAAAAGGAGGTTGAGGCGGGGCAAAGGGGAATTGAGACAGGGAAAATCAGAGTACTTTATAAGGATATCTAAGAATGAAATTTAACACAAAAACCATGTATCTACGTGTATACAAATATGTGAGTGTGAGGCGTATTGACTTTCACTATAACAACATGAATTAAGTAAAATTCCTCAAGCAGAGAAGAACATTCCACCATATCGGATCTTCAAATAAGTCTAAACTCAAGATTAAAACTTTAAATAATATCTCAAAATTTATTATGAACAAAAGCTGTACGTATTCATCAAAGTACAAGTTTACAAAGGAGTCTAAAACCTCCTGAAAAAATTTACCTTATACAGCAAGACAAGATAACTTCACTGATTGTACTGCTACAAAAAATTCCCAATGCATGGCTAAACCAAAAGTGCAGCCACATGCCTACTATTCCAGATTATTGTCACATATCAAAATGATATGTTCAAAGAATAAAGACATTGTTGCACAGATCTTGCTTTATCTTGGTTTTAACCATCCAGCAGAAAAATTTAAAAACAAAGTATAAGAAGTAAAGCCATGGTGTTATGTTGAGCTATAGGGGACTCAGGTCAACAATTTCTGACACTGCCAGTCAAGCGGAAGACTCAATACTGTTATGGACTGCTGGACTCTTTTGGAATATTTTGCTGAGTTAACACACCTATAATATTCAAATGACAGAACTAAACAAAAAAGAGGATACAGATGAATGTCCATTTTGTATCTGTGTATTCAAATGGTTAGGATAGATATATAGTTACATTCTCTTAATGAATAGAGGGATTTGTTCTAATAGTGTTTGTAAATAGGATATCATGTCTGCATCTTGTACAGCAAATAACCACTAGGAAAAGAGTATGCAATGTGTTAATTGTTGAAACTGTCCTACCAATTTGATTTGAAACTGTCTCACTGCTATTTGTTTCTCAATAAAATTATGGAAGTAAAACAGAAAAAAGACAAAGATAAGTGCTGGTGAGGATACATGCAAATGATAGATATAGACATAGATATAGATATATATTTCCTTGGGGAATATATATATGGTAAAACCACTTAGAAAATGTTTCAAAATATTAATCATTCCTAGCACACCAGGAGGCTGAGACAGGAAGATCACAGGTTTACATCCAACCTGGACAACAAGACAAGAACCTATCTCAAAAATTTTTAAAAAGGAGGGTTAGCAATGTAGATCATTGTAAAGACCCTAGGTTCCATCTCCAGTACCAGCACCAATGAAAAACAAATAATAGAGTTATCATGTGTCCCAGAAGTTCCACTTTTAGGTGTCAAAAAGAAAAAAAAAACTGCTCACATAAAAAAATCCATACGTTTACAGTCAGAAGTGCAGAGAACACAGGTCAGCGCAGCACAACGGCTGCCTGGCAAGCCGAAGGTCCTGAGCTCAAGTCCCAGGCCAAAAAGAACCCAGTGACAGCTCTATTCTATTCTTAAGAGCCCCAAACTGAAAGCAACTCAAATGCTTATTCAACTAATGAAATGATCAGCAAAGTATGGTACATTCATACAACAGAATTTTATTTGGCCATGAAAAGAAATGGGAGGTCTAATCTATGCTTAAAGGTGGACTGAAATTGAAACATTATGCACAGTAAAAACTGTCACACACAGAAGGCTAAATATATGATTCTGTCTTTAGGAAATGTACAGGATAAGCAAATCTACAGACACAAAAACATCGATTAGTAATTGCCAAGGGCCAGCAGGAGGGAATGATGAACGTTTGCTGAGGACGAGGTTTATTTTGGAGTGATGAAAATGTTCCCAAACGAGACAGTTGTGTCAGTGTACAACTCTAAAAATATACTTAAAATAACTAAATTGTACACTTTAAAATGGTGAACTTTATGTGTATGAATTGGGTCTCAATAAAGGCAGTATTTTTTAAAAGGTTCACCACTTAGCTATAGTGCTCAAAGGATAATCAAATAGTCTCTTTGCATACTTGAGGTCTTCTTCTTCTTCTTCTTCTTCTTCTTCTTCTTCTTCTTCTTCTTCTTCTTCTTCTTCTTCTTCTTCTTCTCTTTCTTTCTTTTTGTTTCTTTTTTCT